ATTGGCCTAATAAACCGTAGGTTTTGTGCCGTTATCGCCGTATGACCTCAGGGATGATTTAGGGATGTTTTGAGGACATTGAGTAAGTGAATCGTATGAGTATTTGGGTAAAAAAATCAGTTCTGGTCGTAACATGTTTTGCTGTCATCGCACTGTTCGCCTAGAGAGCATGCCAGCGAAGACTCGCCACAGACTCGCCTAGCGAGCAAGCCAGCGAACGTAGCAGAGTTCGCGAAGTTTGATCGTTTTGCAGCGATGCCTTGATGTTTGATTATGAGACTCATGAGATGAGTTAATATGAGTAAGACAATGAGGGATTATGTGATTAATAGGCGATAGTGTGAGGATTACCGCGAGTATAATTTGATGAATTAATATGTGATAACATGGGATATGATGATTTATGTGATGATGGTGATTGTTATGATGAATTATGTGATAACATGAAATATGACGATTTATGTGATGATGATGATTGTTATGATGAATTATGTGATAACATGAGATATGACGATTTATGTGATGATGATGACTATGTTGATGAGTTATGACGTATGATGAATATTATGAATGATGATGCACCATATGTTGTTAGTATGAGGATTATTATTGACGCGTGCATCATGCATTTATGTGCATCCGGACTTCGGTTCAGAACCTCGATTACTTTGGCTTCAATCCCATTGTGTGGATGTGAAGTTTTTTGACGTGCTTCAGTTCTTTAGTAGAATCAATCCTATTGATAGGGATCTATGGAGGGTTGATGGCCCAGTGTCCATCGCGTTGTGATGATTGGTACCACATGCATTGAGTTGTGTCACATTGCATCTATGAGTCTTTTTGTATGAATTGTGACATTGTGGCCTTTGAGACATATTTGAGGAATATGAATGTGTTGAATATAATTATGATGTCGTTTATGCATTAATTGTTATACATTGATTATTATGAATTGTTTTACTCACCCTGCCTGTTTGAATGTTACTTCCACGTGGGTAACGTGCAGATGACCCATTTAACCGTGAATGTCGGCGAGGAGTATTTTGAAGTTTTAGAGTCGTTAGCCTTTATGGTTAACTTAGAGGGTCTTGCTCTGATATGTAACATCGGGTTGGGTTCTTTGAGTTGATTTTATATCAGTGGGTTATTTTACTTATTTTCCCTTTTGAGGAGAAACCTTGATTTATGCTTTGAGTTCCGCAGTTTATGTTGTTTGATGTACTTTGGGAAAAACCCGTAGTTACGGAGTATGGACCTATTTTGTTAACTTTAAGAAATGTATGTCATTTTAATGGCTTTTTAATGAGATTTACTTAGTCACTCTGATTATTGTGTTATTTTGCCTTAATAATTTTGGGGTAGAAAAATGGTGTTACACCAATGACTTCTATTTTAATTTATTTGATTTAGAAGTTGTTGCAGGTTGTTGTTGTTGATTTAATGTACATACAAAACAAATAGGTATTGGCTATCACTACTTGAGATTGTTGGTGTTACATCCACGAAGTTGATATTTTCGATTGAATTTGCATATATGAAACATTAAAGGGAGGAAAACTTCACATGGACACTAGAGAAGATAAAAGAGTTGTTCGCTTTCAAGAAGTTGCTACCGAATGTTTTGGTCACTAACTGTGAATGAGCGTTGATGAATTTTGTAGAATTTATGTTTCCAAACTTAACTCATTTATTTATGTTTGTTCCATATTTTAAAAAATGTTAGTATGAAGTGTAAGGAGCTTGTAGAATTACATAGGCATGAGTATGTTATGGATATGTGAAAGAACATTATACATTTGAATATTGAGACTATTTTTCTGGTACACGTAAACCATTTTAAAGTTGTATGTTGATATTCCCAGATTTATTCAGTATGTGCATGAAACTTAGTTGACTCCCTATAAAGAAAGATTTTTTAGTGCTTGGACTAATGTAGTCAGTCATATAGGGAACACAATAATGAGCAGTTACATTGATGTCAATATGAATATAGTTACATTAATAATTATCAAATAATGATATCTTATTCTGATTATGTTTTTTAGGGTTGGTTATGCCCATTGGAGACTGAAAAATATGTTGACAAGTAGCATGGGAGATTTATGTAGAAGTTGAGATGTTGTTAACACCAAATTGAAGTTGTAACTAGGTTCAATTAGAGTATCATTTCATAAAAGTGTTGCCAACATTGATCATCGGTAAAAAAAAACTCAATTTTACTCTAGATTGCATGATTTCGCTTCAAGACAGTGTATACAACACATTGGAGAGGAGTTGGAAAGGATAAAATTCGTTGGTTGTGACAGAGTAGCATGCAGTTACTTTATTGGAACAACATATGGGTTACCTTGTACATGTGAACTTTTCCTCCCTTAGGGGTGCTTCTTCACCATGGTGAAAAGTCACAATTTCCCCTAGCGTCAAGAGGCATCTTCAGACGTAAGGTTTTTCCACACGCATCATCACAAATTAGTGAGCCACCCTTATTTTTTCAAAAATTAATCTAGTGATGTATCTTCATATCAACATAAGGGCAAGTTTGGACATACATCTTGATAAAAGTAATTAATTCAAAATTTATGGGTGCTTACGGAAATACATCTCCGGACGGATTTATTTCATATACCCTGCAAACCCTTCCCTTATCCTTCTTTATTTTTTGCAAAGTCACAAAAAACCCCATTTGAGTTATTTTTGCTGCAAAGTCAATTTCAAACCCCACTTGAGCAAGTTTCTTCAAGTTCACTCACTCCATTCTACTTCATTTACTACAAAGTCACTCACTCCATTAAAGTTCCTCATCCATAATTCTAATTTGGTAAGTTTCTCAATTCATTTTTTTTCTAGTTTTGAATGATGCTTTAGGTGACATGGGTTGCTTAAGTTGCATTAGATAATAGTACAATTTAAATAGGTAGTTGATATAGACATGTATTGCCATTTTGTTGGAGTTTTGGATAGTAATAGAGTTTTTTTTCCATTTTTACAAACCGCGATTTCATCCGAAGATGCATCTCCAGGTTATGTATGAACGATTTTTGAAGATGTATCTTTGAATATGCTCTGACTAAATTTTGATTGTATTTTGACGTGATTTTCTAATTTTATTACAGGTGTGTCATATTCTAATTTTCCCCTATATCAATAAATTCATCCATTCATCATGATATTTGCATCATCTGCATATCATGACATGCACTTATTTAAGCATAATTCCTAAAGAGTCAACCAGAATAAAATTTCAGTTTTACAGACAGATCGATTGAATCAATTTTCAATTACACGTAATTTCAAATTCGGGTCTGCAACTGTTTGTTTTGTTAATCTACAGTTCGTGTATTTCGATCTGATGTGTTCATTTTTTTGCATCTGCAAGCGTTCGCATTTTGATTAGTGTGAGCCCATTCATCAGGGACTTTTTTATTGCAAAATTTGATCCACGACTATCTATTTACGAAACTTTATTTCGCGTAGATTATTTTAATGCATTCATTTTATTTTTTTGCAAATTTTCGCGCCCAATTTTTATTCGTTTTAATTCGTTTTAATTGTTTTTATGTCAAAATATCACGTAATTGTTTTTATTTTTGTTTTTATTTTAATTATTTTTATTTTTATTTCGCGCCCAATTTACTGATAGTGTACATTGAGGTGTTACCTCTTGGTTTTGGTTGACACGTCCATGTTTGTAGATAAAAGTGCAATCTATGTCAATATGGTATACCTTAAATACTTCACCAACTTAACGATAGTTCACAAGTACAACTAGGGGGCCGCCTGTTTGATCTACTTATACTCAAAGTCGAGCGAATGTTGTCTTTAGAATACAAAACAATTGACTGAAAGCTGCATAATGCTTACGATAATTTACGGTTACTAATATTCTCATAACTCTTTTGTTACACTTGTTACTAATTTTCATAACCATTTTCAATGATGGGCGGTCCTTCACTTTCCCCGTATCTCCGAGTGGGATTATGTGGCTAACTACAACGAGAATTGGCCACCTGTTGTCGCCTTTGCTCCGTATAGAGGAATCAGGCGATCGAGCCCTTCTAGGTGTATCTCGACCGCACTATCTTGATGCCATACTTGAGGATCTCGAGAGTCATTTGGTACCAGAGAACTATTGCAGGGTGCCAACTCTTGTACAATGGACTCATGTAAACAATTACATTGCATGGTTCTATATGGTATTACATCCTATCATGACACCAAAGACTTCTTAAAGTCATCATAGGCCATCTAATTGTGAGGTACTAGAAGTTAGAGATAACCACACCCAAGACATACGCAACGCGTGTCAATGTATTATGGATATGACGAGATTGAACATAAATGCATGACTTTTTCAAGAAGGCAATCCCTAGTAGGCCCTCGTAGAAGACATTATTGTCGAGGCACATAGTGCCTTACAATACAAGCAAATAAATCGAGGTTAGACACAAACATTACTTTATGCTTGATTGTAGTATTTTTTGTATTACCCGAGCAAGTTATATAAGATTGATACATTTTAAATTTATTTTAATTAATGTATAACTTTTTTTTTAATGTATGTGCATGAATCAATTAATGTATATATTTTTAAATTTATAACGTCATGATAGGATGTTGCATAAAAATGACAAAATTAGGATAATATTACTGTCTAGAAAATATTAAAAAGATTTTGGGAGATGTATCTAACTAATATGCATTTCTAATGGCTTTGAAAGAATTTTACTGTGTTAGATCTCCGTCTCATATTTTGACAAAATGCGTGTGGCTGAATTATCTGTACTTATTTGATTTTAGCTGCATCTCCAAACTTAATATATTTTTGAGTTTTCAAATATAAATGCGGGACAGTTCTATATACAGTGGCTCTCCTCACTGAAATTTTGCGAAAACTGTGAGCGGGAGTCGATTTTCACCCGCTTCAAGAAGAAAAAAACTCAACTCCGAAATCCCGCCCTCTCCAACACCGTCCTCCAATTTCTTCGGCGACGGTCGCCACCATGGTGCATTCCCACGACGTTCAAGACTCACCCTCACTCGAACACTCTCCCTCATCACAACGCCGTAATTTACCGCGTTCCAATTCCACCGATTCTCACTCCCAAAACAACCGTCCTATAACTTTCTCCCCCACACCTCCGATTCACGCTACTGTCAAAAAAGAACACGATAATTGCGATTCACAGGTAAATTATTCCATTCTCAATTTCATTCTTCACATCATTCTTCAGTTTCCTTTCGCCAATGCAAGTAATTATCCACTTTAATGTTAGACTAACAATACTTTTCAAATACTCTAAAAAACAAACTCTTGATATTAGGTCTTTGATTTCTTGAATAATAATTAGGACTTTGAGTTGATTAATTCATTATACTTGAGTTCAAATTTTGTATAAACTTTATATAGAGAGTGTAGAATGGTTGTATATAAGAAGTGGCAGTTCTCAATATGGAGCTGTCGTTTGCATAGGCTGCAAAAGGAAGAAGACTCAAGCATGATTATGCCCTAGTTTGAAACAGGTAACATATTCAAAGATTCAAAATGACGATCTTGGAGTGGAGAGTACCAGTAGTTTACGGAAATGTTCGACGATTTGTGATGTTCTTGACACCGAGGTTGAAGATTCTGAGACTCTTTTGAGTTCTGTTGATAATGGTGGAAATGGAAATGCATCTTTTCAGTTAGATTTTCCTATTTTGAAGGTGAAAGAGGAGATTGATGAAGGTAGTGTCGATGATCTTGATCATGTTGTACTGAAAGAAAGGCAAAGGATGCTGCTAGCTAGGTACATGATATGAATTGTTGTTTTTTCTTTCTCTCGAGTGGGGCTAGTTAACTCACTTTTCTTTTCTCTCTTTCTATTTAGTATTTACCCTCTTTGATTTTGTTTCTTAAAATGACAATTGAAATTGAAATAGATACATATTGAAAATGTTGTAGCAAAGAAACTTTTTGATATCTCTATGGCTTAGTGTGAAAATCTCGAATGCCATGTTCTATTCCATTGTATTAGTACATTTCCTCTTTCATTGTATGGGTATGAAGGATAAAGCTAGAAATGTTGTCTATTGCATCATCTCTTTTGTCGTTACGAAGATATTGGATTAGTAAAGGCATTATTGTCAATAGCGGAAAATAACAATTGTTTATATCTATGTTATCAATAGCATGCTATAGCATTGCTACAGTGGAATAGCGTAGCGGTGGTAGGGTTTGGCATGGCACTACTGGTCTGCGAGCTGCTGTCAACGATAGTGGTTGTAGCGATCACGAACCTATATCGCAGCCGCTATTCTGTTCACTATTAGAATTTTGGGGATAAGTTCCTCAATTTTTAAACTGTTGTCTCCTTTTTAAGTGTATAAATTTCAATCTGAACCCTTTGAAGAGTAATGTTATGTTATTCCTACTTTTAGTGCAGTTCTGTTTTATTCTTCTTCTCACTTTTAATTCAGTTGTTGTTTATTCTGCTTCTCTGATTTATTTTTATTACTCCATACTTTAGGCTCTTCCACTATTAAGTATGATGATCCCTTTAATTTTGTGTATTAGTCTATTTTTGAATATTTATGTTTACTTTATATACTGGTTTTAGTCTTTGCAATATCCCGCTATAGCATTTTAGAGAACCTGCTACGTGATGCTATCCGAGATTAACAACATATGTTTATATCAAATTCTGCTACACTATAGCGCCAATATGACCACTATTTGAAAACACTGGGCAAAGAACCATAAATCCACCGAAGCAACTTTTTATGTATATAACTAAAACCAAGTTTAGTTGGAATACCATATTTTCATTATTGTTAGGAACCAAAATAATATTCATTTGAAAGAAACTATTAAATTCCACGTGGTATTTTAAGAAAGGAAAATGATGCTGCTAGCTAGGCACTTAATGTTAATTATTGTTTTTTCTTCCTGCTAGAAAAAAGCATCAAACTCACTTTTTTGTCTAATTAGTATTTACCCTCTTTAATTTTTTTCTTAAATGTCAACTGAAATGGATAAATATTGAAAATAATGTAGTAAATCAACTTTTTGATATCTCTAGTATAGGGCATAATGATAAAATATTGAAGGCATATTGTCTTCCATTGTATGCTTATGAAGGATAAAGATAGGAATATTTCCTATTGCATCCCCTTTTTGACCTCAGGAAGATATTGGGATTAGGGGTAAAGAACCATCAAATACTTTCTATTAAAATTTGCAAGCAAGTATAAAAATGAGCTATCGCATTTGTATGTTTGTGCCTTTGTGGTGGTTGGTAAGTCGAGAAACATTTCATGCTCAACCAGTGGAAGGGAATTACAGTAAGCTTGCTAGGGAGGGTAGGTGAGCGGAAGGAGCTTGAATGGTTTTATGGTCTATAACATGAAGATGAATCTTTAAATATTTCCTAAAAATTAAGCAATAGATTGATTTACTTAAAAATGTATTTCTGTAAGTCAGATAAGATATTTTACACACTTTTTAAATCTGTTGTGCAATTACTTTGAATGATAGTTCTCTTTAGAATTTGACAACTTACACGTTTGAATAGTTGGTTGGTTAGTAGTAGGGTTGTGATTTGTGAATAGAAAAAAACAGGTCTAAATTAACAGATCAACCCATTTTACAAACTTCATGTATTTTGATTTCAGTTTCTTTTTTGGAAAATAATTAATTCCATTTTGTTCAAAATTTTATCATGTATATTACAAAAACCAAGTTTATTTTCATGATTTCATCATTGGGAGGAACCAAAATAATTTACTGTTTGAAGGAAGCTAGATGGATGTTGCTTTTGAAAAATGGTTAAGTATTATATTATTATTATTGCAGGAGGCTTCCAGGGCTGCGAAGTCCAGCATTTGAGGTAATTTAATTTAATTTTTTTATCAGTTAAGTGATATATTTATTAGAAAGATAATAAGTTAGTCATAACTCGCTTTTGGTACTTTGTTGGCCTTTGTTAGTGGAATGCTATTTTTGATTGAAAAAAGGTAGTTATTTTATTTCTTTATTACTTGTTTTTTCATTTATTATTATTATTATTATTATTATTATTATTATTATTATTATTATTATTATTATTATAATAATAATAATTATTATTATTAATTCTTGATGGTTATGAAGAAATTAGTACATTTTACTTCCAAGATGCTGATTGTCCTATGAACGCCTCCAATTTTCTGAAATTAAACTATTCAACATTTTACTTCTCTCCTGGATTTCATATATCTTATCTTTCATCTCTTTGGCAACACAGAAATGATTTTTAATAGCAGAATCATTATACTATTTCTATTTAGGAACAATCAATCACATCAACTATGTTTGAAGAACAGATACTGGTAAACAAATAGGCACTTTTTGACATAATGTACACACATAATAATATACTAAATAAGCAGCAAAGAAACACATTTGTTATAGTTATAGTTTTCCCTTTAGTTTGTTAAAGCGCAGAATTTCTCTAATTTCTAATATCCATGTAGATCCTTTGTATCACAGAGTTTTGCTGAGTACAAGGAATACTGAGTTCCAACCATGGAGTTGTTTTGGGCTGTTAATTGTGAAGATGACATTTTGCTTTTAAAACCAGATTTTCTTAGTATTTGTCTTGTTTTCATATACTCATTTTGTTTCCTTATTTAAATTGACACGCCTGCACCTTTCTTTCCATGTAACCACCATTAGAATGTAGTTTATGTAGTATGTTGATATACCTCTCTTATTATAGTTTTTTGTCTATTTCTTGGTAACAAAGATAATAATTCTTATGATGGTCATGGTTTTAGCTTTTTACTAAACCTGCAACTTATTTATGTCACAGGCTAATAGTGAATGCTTGTTCAAAAACATCGTGGATCAAACTGTTAAAAAAGAAAATGGAGAATTTTCTTCTGTTGATGGGAAAATAACTGCAGCTAGAGATCAGTGTCACGGCATTCCAGAAGGAAAAAATACTTCACTATCTGAGTTACCACATGAAGCCCCCTCTGGATCATCTTTGTCAACTGAGCATGCCGCATCTAAATCAGGAAGACCAGTAACTTCAGCATACCCCCAAGAATACGACCAAATAGTCAAATCCGAAGAAATGATCACACATTTTGATTCACAAGAGGAACAAGGTGTTATGCCTACAAACAATAACGGGCCAAGTAGTTCAGCTTGTCCGACCTCTGTCAAAATCAAGGGTGAACCTTGGGATAACAGCGAAATCCACAATGTTATAGAGAATGCGATGGGCAGCACCTCCATTAAACTGCCAGTTGCTAAAAATGAACAGGAACTCCATAACGACTATACCGATGATCAAGTGGAACATATGATCTTAAACGATCGGTTGAAGTTTCTAATGTCCAGAAAGGATTGTAATTTAAATATTCCTATAAGCTACCCTGTGTCAAGCTCCAATTTTTCAGAATCTGCAGAACCTTCACGCATCAAGTGTGCACGAAAAAGAAAGAAAACAGCCACGTAGGATCTGATTCTGTTAAGTAATATTTTATCTATAGTTCCATTATAAATGTATGATAACTATCCCAAATATTATTCTTGTTTTGCAGGAATTCAATTCAAACAGCTCTTGAGGAGGATGCCCCTGGCCTTTTGGAGGTATTTTTGTTTGTGTACAGCCACTTTGAAATTGGAATTTATATCGAGTTTCATGGATTTTGCATTTGACAGGTATTGCTAGACAAAGGTGTGTTAGTAGATGAAATTAAGCTTTATGGAGAAACAGAGAATGATGAAGCTCTGGATGAATCACTTTGCCAAGATAGCTTTTCAGAGCTTGAAGCTGTGATGACAAAGGTGAAAAATATGAAAATAATTGTAATAGCTTCCTAAATAATCCGCCTTTTCATTTGATTTCAGGACCAAACTAACTCAACAGTAAGGATATTATAACTATTAACTATCTAACATAACAACAAGATAGTCATAGCATCTTAAATTTTTGGCTTCTCAATTCATTTCCAAATATCAAGAGGGAGATCCTTGGTGCAACAGTAAGTTTGCTGCCAAGTGACCTTCGAGTGCAAATCTTGGAACACAGGTTCTCCACTTGTGGGGTAAAGTTGTTTACATAACATATCCTCTCTAGAATTTCCCCCCATACTAATTGCGGTATCAAACAGCAGAAAATATATAAAATATTTTCCATCCATTAATTTAATTCAAATAAATAGGTTGTTCAAATTAACTCAATTGATACAAAATTATTTAGCTAATTTAATTTATTTGTGGCATTGCACTCCCCACCCCTCTCCATGTCATTTATGTTTCATAATCTTCATCCAATGTCTTTTTATTCTTCTTATTGGCCTTCAACTGTTGCATCCTCGCCCCTTCTTTCTTGACACACGGAGGCACGGCATACAAAACGGTGAGCGATAAGAACAAAACAAGTGAGGAAGGTCGAGAGTAGTTAAAACTTAAGGCAGCTTGGGATTGTTACACAAGGAGGTTTATGTGGGTTGAAGTTCTTGGTTATGGCAGAAGTGAGTTCTGTAGTTAGTTTATGGATACAGAAAACTGGAGAAGTACATGGTGAGCGAGAAGAACAAAAAAGGCGAGGAAGGTCGAGAGTGGTTAAACCTTAAAGCTGCAGCTTAGGCTTGTTACATGCAAGGAGGTTGTTGGAAATAGAAAAAATACATTGTATGTTTCCCACTAAAATTAACTTTTAAGTCTTAGGTTCATGTATATTTAGATTCATGCATTTAGGAAGTTGGACTATTATTTATTGGGTAATGCTAACTTGTGCCCCAAGGGCACAAGTTAAGAGATAAATATAGTAAAAATTTATTGGAAATTGTGTATTAACATTAATAAAAGATTACAATTAATGAGTTTATTGTTTTTCTCGATACAAATTTTCTATTTATATATTTTTTAACATGTGCCCTTGGGGCACAAGTTAACATTACCCTTATTTATTTCTCCTTGTAAACATAATATGTAAATAATTATATAGTGTCTATAAATATCATAGTTGCTTAGTGTTTTACTCAAGCACATTCAGAAAATTTCTTATTTCTATTTTTCAGAGGTTTATGTGGGTTGAAGTTCTTGGTTAGTTTAGGGATAGGGAAAACTGGAAAAGTGAAGAGATGCGGGTAAGTAAGGAAAGAAAAAAAGGTCCTCTCTAGTCTCTCCAGTCAATCTCCGCTGATACGCGTAATAGAAACTGTTACAGAAATGAAAACTGAGAGAGAGGGAGAGTAGATTTCTTTCTGTTTTAGATTTCTTAAATGAGGAAGTTAGTAACAGTACTCAACTGAATAAGTATTTATGCCCAGCCAGGACTGTACTGACTCAGCACAGTCAGTTACAACTTACAAGGTTAAGGCCTTGTTTGGCTAAACTGATTTCTACTTGCATAGATGGTTAGTTTTGCCATTACTGATTACTCTATTAAGTTGCCATTACTTTATTATCTCCCCTTCAAATCCAGAGTCATCTTACTGCAGAGATGCTTTGTCAAAGAGTTGAAGTTTGTCCCTTAAAAGAAGTGGGGCCTACAGGCAGGCTTTCTCTCTTCCACATTTCTATTATATAAACCAAATGACTTAAAGTCCTTCTCCGCTATATCTCACCCTCATTTTTTCTTTCTTTCCTAAACCATTTATAATAAACATAACATTAGGGAACAGGGTCTGTTCTTTGTTTTCCTGTATATCCAAGAAGAAAACAAATGGAAGTAAAATATCGTTTTAACTAGATGATTCAAAGTCACAGTTACCACCTTTATAGAAGGCTCAAAAGAAGCAAGTCACTTGTACCTGGCAATCTGGCATATTTTTCCAGTTTCCTGGTTTTATGATTATAAATATGATTGAGCTTTCTGATAAGCAATACTTCTACTGGTTCTAAAAACTATTTATTAATAAATCATAAAATATTTGGGTACAGCAGGCCTCAATTTTTTTTAGTATTGATGGTGGAATATTTTTTTCGAGTCATTTGGCGGGTTTTCTCTATTGCTTTAGATTTATATAATTTCCTCTTGTTTGGAAACAGATTTTCTCTCAACGCAACTCTCTCATTAAATTCCCTGTTATTCGCGCTGGAAAGGGTTCAAGAGAGAGTTATTGCTTGGATTGTCTAATCTCACTAGTGGAGCAGGTATTTGGTTTCTTACAAACTTGGTGTCCATGCTATGTTTTGGTACTATACTTATTCCTGTTTTATTTATGCTACAGGTAAGATGTTTGAAGCTTCAAAAATGGCCTGTTGAGTGGGGTTGGTGTCGAGATCTTCAATCATTTATTTTTGTTTTTCACAGGCATAACAGGTGCTTGATATGCATTGAAAAAAATCTTTGAGTCCATGGTTTCTGTGTTATTTAGTCCATGATGTTGATTTTGAATTAAACTTCAATGTAGGATAGTGCTGGAACGCCCTGAATATGGCTATGCAACCTACTTCTTTGAACTGTTATCAGCCTTACCCGTTGAATGGCAGATCAAGCGGTTGGTGGTTGCTATGAAGCTGACTACATGTAGCAGGATCTCCATTATTGAAAACAAAGAATTATTGGTAATGACTTCATGCATACATGATCTGCTGTTAGGTGACGTACTAATTGGATCTATATCTTCCTATCCAAAATAATAAGTGGCTAGTTAGGCTTCTTCTGATATTTATAATGGAATATTAAACTTTCCTCCTAATAGCTGTACTACAAAAACCGGGATGCCACGTGACTTGTTGATGAGTGTGAGGGAGAAAAAAGTGGAACTTAGACATGACCAAATATATAGGAAGGATATAGGTTGGCTTCAATGTTCAGATAGGTCAATAAGGTAGAAAATTAATGTTTATTACTGTTTTATGATATAACAATAACACACGTGTCTTGAAAGAAATGTTAGCAAACCAACTATTCAAGAAAAAATATTTTAGAAAAAAATGTCACTATTGATTGAAATGTTAGCCATGAAATTATCTTAAGATGTTTGTTAGATAGTGATTAATGAGAAGTTGAATCGTTAAACCCAAACAATCTTTATATTTTAGTTGATTAGTTGTTGAATCTATCTTTTCTGGATATCTAATTTCTATCTAATGCCTAATGCTGGTTATTAGTGTTCTCTCTTCTATTTTGGTTTGCTTAATTAATTAACTCAAGCATCTGTTAGGTTTTAATTGTTTTACTAACCATGAGACATTTGTTAGGTTTTTCCCCCCAAGAGATTAGAGTCAAATGCAGTAGGTTGAAACAAATAGTTTTAATGTCAGTTTTTTAGAGGCTGAACATGGTGTCTGAAGCATGATAGTGGTTTGTCTAGATTTGGTTGTTATAATCAAGTTAGCATGTTCAGCCATGTAAGCCTGAGCTCTATCGAAGAATCCTCAGAATTTCAGCTTCAAAAATTAATAATACCAACATACAGTCTAAAAAAGGGAGATGCAGTATGAGACGGCGCTAGTTACTCGCGCTAGTAACTGTTTTTATTTTTAATTGACCAACCTTTTCTTTTCTACTTATTGTTTTTTCCCTCTATCTTTCATTTCATACTTGCTTTTCTACAAGGGTTCTTAGATCCACAGTATAATTGCCTCTCGTCACTGCTTTCTACCCCACCCTAGAAAAGAAATTTGATCTGCTCAATTCTTGCTGTCTTCGGTATAGGTTGGAGAAGATTTGTCGGAAGGTGAGGCAAAGGTGTTAATGGAATATGGCTGGATCCCAACCACTGGTCTTGGAACCATGCTTAATTACCGTGACAGAGTTGTGCATGATAGGAAGAACGTGGACACTTCTGAGTGGCGTACTAAAATTGGGAAGTTGTTGGTGAATGGTTATTGTGGTGGAACCACATTGACGCTCAACATCCCAAAAAGAGTTGCAGATTACAGGCGTGCTCAAAATCCTGACATAGACTCTAGTGTTCCGACAAATGATTAGAGGATAGCTTGTGTGTAAAGGGTTTTCTCATGTAAATATGGTGTATTTGTATGTTGACCGTTCTTCAGACTGAGACTTGGCTTTGTTTGTGTAGTTCAATGTGTATTAACTAGTCTAAAGTGTAGCCTCGAAAGGAATGTAGGGTTGGACCAAATAGGAACAAAACTACAACTATGCTTTACCACCAACAGTTTGAATTCAGAGTAGGTTTTTTTATTTTGTTTATTTTTCTTTTAAGTGGGGTCACAATACAATTTTTATAGGATCCAAAATCAGATATGAATTAAATTTGACAAAATGACAAGTAAAAAGATAACATTATTTTCATCTATGTTTAGAATTAGATATAAGATTATAAAAGTATTCTTTCATTGTTGAGAAATAATAAGTTTTAATGTTATTATGTTTAGAGAAAAGAGTATATAAGCACCCTGAATTGTCTTTTGCAAACATATGCAATGGATTTTTAGATTGTCCCAATTGTTTTTTATAATTTTCCAACTGTTACAATAATCATTTTGATAATTTGGAATTAAATTATTAATGATGAAATTTAAATTCTTCATTTCCAATTAGTTTCAACCATCCTTCCATATTATAATTAATATTACAATTTATAATAGTGCATTAAACTTTATAGGGAAAAAAGTGACCGATCCTTGCACTATTATCGTATCTACAGACTTAATTTTGTGACTGAGTAGTATTGAAGTGAGAGAAAGAGAGTGGGAGAGAGAAAAAGAGAGATCTCAAACTGAATTCTGTTATTATGATTGTGACAGTTTACAACAGAATAAAACTTATATGCATCTAATCCTGTGCCACTACTTTCTTATCTTACAGCACACACTAACTAACTACAAGTTAGTTAGGATGACATGACACACTAGAGGAATATACTCTAATAAGTAGAGATTCAATTTTAGTTTTTCTATGAAAGATTGCAAGTCTACTTATACACCATAAGTATTTTAGCTAAGATGACCATTGTTGTAGTTATTTCCTCCCTCCTTTCCCCCATCTCATCCTTTTCCTCCTGATCATCACTAAGACCACAGATTCCCTCTGCCGAAACTATTGCCGTAGAAGAAATAGTGAGCAGGCGCGGGGGATGCGTGAATGCTGGCAGTAGTAGTAGTGTGCTGTGAAATGCAGGAGACTGTAGAGTAGTAGATGTGTAAGGTTACTCGATAGCAGACTTAGGTGGCTTTGCATGAGGTTGTAGTAGTTTTTTGTTGTCTTACAATGAGGGAGGAGGTGCAATGTGGGTGTCTGGTCGGGCACTGACTCTGCGTGTGAGAAATAAGGAGATGCACTCGGTTGGCATGATGAAGCGGGACATAAGGCGGGTGGGATTGCAAAAGAAATGGGGTTCTAGAGTGTGCCGGGAAGGGATTGCCAAGGGGCATATATGCAACTGTGCAAGAAATGGGCTGGGGATGCATGTTCGTTGCCATGAAAGATTACTAAAAAGAGTCTTGTAAATGCTTGGTTATTTCTGGCTACTAATCTGAATTCCTGGAAGTGGAACTCTGTTTAAGCTGTGAAAAACAATTTTAAAAGAGGCAAAACGTGATAATTTATGGTTTTATACAAAAGGAAGACAAGCATGAGAGGTATAGATTCCTTTTGCATTGTGTTCAAACACTGCCGAAAAGTTCAATTATAGCACACAAAGCTATGATTCCATATTTGGTTCATAATCAGCACATTACCCAAATGTGAAAATAATGAAGTCATCACTATAGAAGTGAAGAAATTTTCTTTTAATGTTTTTTCTGTTTGTTTTTCTTTTCCATAAGTTGTGAATTATTTTATTTTATAATTTAAAGACCGAATTTAAAATAATGATTGAAATTATATATTAAAATTAAATGTCAATATTTGTTTACTATTAACGATGAAATCCCTGGAATAATTAGAAGGGTCTACATTTATGTTTTCCCACCTTAGTTTTATATTATTTCAAAACACTAATTTTAATTATTTTAAATGAAAAAAATATATTCTATTGTCATGTTATGTGTAACAAAGAACAAAAGGACTCTTAACAATGTGAAGTTTTTTTATGCATAAGTTTTAAAATAATTAGTCAAAAATGTCTCAGATTTTTGAGATGTATTTTCATATTTTCTGCACCAATGAAATACAATTCAATTGAGTGTCATTTTATTTTTTTTCAAAATATAATTCGAAGATGCATTTCAGAACTAATCATATCATTTTATTTTTAATTTACTAATTCAATGACTTTTTTAGAAGTGCATCTTTGAAATTTTGAAACAGAAAATTGAAAACCTTTCACCGTCAGTCTATTTTGGAGATGCATCTCCAAAAAACTTAAACGTCATTTTTTGATAAAACAAAATTATGCATGATCGAACTCCATTGCCAACCTTTGCAAAAAATCCTTCCATTCTCAATCAAGATTATCACTCTAAAACTTTAGTCTTGTGTTTCATCACTTTAAAAGGAGGAAAAGAAGCTGAAATTCAAAATAAAGATCATTCATTTCATTCTTCGTTGCTCACATTAATTTCGTTTTTGTGTTGTCAAAGTTATGTTGACTCCGAAAATGCATCTCCGAATTTTAGATGAATTCCTATGAAAATGCATTTTTGAAATGTCCATTGTTTTAGTTTTTAAATATTATGTGTTTTTTTGTTTGTATTAGTTATCATGCATCCGTATGTTTTTTCAAAACCTGTTGTGTCTAAAAATGTCAAAAGTTTCTTTGTGAAAGAGGTATATGTTTGCAAACAATTTACAACGAGACAAGAGTTTGAGTTTCGTGATCATATGCTTCAATGAAAATGCATTGAGGCATTTAATTTGAGGTTTGCTGTTGTAATTGAAAGATTCGACAATGGTTCAGATAGAAGAGCTGCATTTGTGACAATGAGATGCAAAATAAGTGTGACGTATATAACTCCTCTTTAGAAATTCAAACAAGATGACACCGATTCGAAAAAATGTAAATGTCTATTTAAGTTATGTGGATATCTGTTGTCAAATAAAAAAAATGGAAATTTAATGTCATTTGTGGTTTTCATAACCATGACCTATGTGACAAGCTAGTCGGACATCCAATTGCATGTCGTCTAATGCCGGAAGAGAAGGAAATCGTTAAAGACATGACATTGAGTATGATGCGGTTGAAAAACATACCTTTTTTTTTTATCAAAGCCGAAAAACATACTTGTAATTTTTAAACACAAAAGACTCAGAAACATCTCAAATATCAAGAAAGTGTACAATATTCGTGTCAATAACAATAACGTGGTAAGAGGGGGTAAAACTGAAATGCAATAACTTTTGAAACTTTTGGATAATAACAATTATGTATCAAGTTACCGAGCGTGCGGGATGAAGTAACAATTGTGTGGAATTTTTCATGTTGGATTTACAAATAGTTAAATTCATAATTTATTTATATTCTTCATTGGTAGAAGTGTTTACCTATTATTAGATTCAGGACTTTATCGACCTTACTTCTTTAATAGTTAAGTACTTCAATTTTCTAATGTTAGTCAAGAGCTTTCGAGCTAAACCATTGATTTAAAAGCTTTTACCGTGAAACCCATAATTAAGGACCTAAAAAAAGATTTAGGGACTAAAATAAAAAACACGTCAATTTACAGGGACAAAAAGAGTATTTAACTCATAAATCTGGATTTGTGTTCATATCTTCATCCCCAACCTTCATACAAACCCATAATTTTTTAAAACTCAAAATTGATGTTGAAATTGATATTATAACACCAAAGACTCAATATCATCTTGAAGAAATGCTATAAAATTCAAGAACACAAATAAAAATACAAACAGACAAAAAAAAAGAATGTACAAACTGATAAGTCCAAGCTTTGAGATTGACATTAATTTTGGTAAAACTAACTTGACAGCAAGATGTTGGACAAGATGTCCTTACATGAAGAACAAACTGAAGAACAAGATGTTGGACAAGATGTCATATCATGATGATTCGACATCTTTGTCTGTTACTTTGCAGTTTTGATACTACTAATTTATTTCCAGATTTCAGAATATTATGGAAATATTTGTTTATCCTAGGTGGCGTTCAAGATTGAGGAATCAGAGATTCTGTTTGAATTTGAAGATGCCGTTTTCAAAGTGTGGAGACATTTTAGGAAACTTTAGATTGAAGAAACTATTCTTGAGGAGAATAAGTTGCAGATTCTGTGTAACAAAATTGCTGCATTTTTGAAGCCTAAATCCAATCTAGTTTATGGTTATAAATAGGATGAATTTAACCTAATCAAAGTGTGGAAAATAAATTGTTGCTTAGTGAGTTTTATGGTTTTCATATTTGTGAGCCTCTCTTGTATCATGTTGATAGTAGAGCTGAACTGTTTGCATTGAGCTGTAATTTTTGTAACTGGTGTGATTGAAAGGGAATTGAGAAGGGTCTCATACCTAGCAGAGTATTAGGTAGAAATTAAGCACGGGTAGTGGTTAAGTGATAATTTGTAAACCGGAGGTTATTTAGCTTAGAATTAATACTATCTAGTGGATTTCATTCCTGGCTTGGTAGCCCCCAGACATAGGTGTTGTTGTACACCAATCTGGATTAACAATTACTGTATGTTCATTTACTTTTTGCAATTTTTATTGTGCTCCTTCTTGTCATTATGTTTAAAGTAGAGATCAAATGTCTTGACATCTCTTAGGACATCTGAGATTTGCATACCAGAATTTCAATTAGTATTAGAGTAGGCATCCCGCTCTGTATCTGAGTGAGATTCAGGGAAGTTATTTTCTGGTGCAATGGACAAGAAATGAGGAATATTGAACAGACCATCCATCCTTGATGGATCCAATTATGAATATTGGAAAGTGTGCATGGTGGCCTTTATTAAGTCCATGGATGATAAAGCTTGGATATCTGTGGTCAAAGGATGGGATACACCAAAGGCTAAAGATCAGGAAGGTAAGATTATTGATATGATAAAGCCTGAGGAAGACTGAGATGATGAAGA